ACAAAAATTTCCCATAGCTCTTTTCAACTTAAAATACCATGAAGGCAACATGCATTGGTGGCTCACACCAATGTGTGAGCTATTTGGGAGGCAGAGATTAGGAGGACCATGGTTCAAAGCCAGCCATGGCAAGACCTTATCTTGGAAAAAAAAAACTTTAATATAAGAAAGGGCTGGCAGGGTGGCTCAAGTGGCACAAGGGCCAGACAAGCATAGGGCCCTGAGTTCAAACCCTAGTATTGCAAAAACAAAACAAAACAAAACAAAAGAAACCCCCAAAAAGCAAACAAAAAAATCCCCAATACTATAGAAACAAAACTGGTTTCAAAAAAATTATACAACTATTTCCTCTAATAAATGAATGCTATTTTTGTGTATATTGATTCAGATTTAATTTTTATTGTCTGAAATTCTCGAGCACTTCATGTAGTTCTTTGTAATTTATATGTGTAGCCTTGGAATTTTATAATCAAATTTTTGTAATGCTTACATGTGTTTATTATACATACATACAGTGTGGGCATTAAACTTGCTTGAGTTCAGAAACATCACATTCTTTGTTCACTGTTCATTTTTTGATAGAAAGTCATACATTTTATAAATGTTCTTTCTTTGCAGTACAAGGAATTGAACTCAGGCTCTTGCTCATGCAAGGCTACACCTGTAGCAAGAAAGGGGAGGCCAGAAAAGAAACAGACAGGCTGAAGACGAAGAGACAGGGGAAGGGGATGGCAAAGCAAAGCGATAAAACTTAAAGAATTGAAACATGAAGGTCACGTAGCACTGGGAAAATGGAATAGCCAATGAAGTCACACGCAGCCACATGTGGGTTGAGCTTTGCTTTTTGCTTCTGTAAACTGCTTGCAAGGGTATATAAGGTGAGACCCCTTTGTTCTTGGGACTCAGCCTTTGGACATGAGTGGGCTGGGTCTGTAATGGCACAATAAATGTTGCTTCCTGCTAATCTGCCTCAGAGACTTGTATCTCAGCTAGCAAACTCCCGCAACATTCCTTGGGGGCTTGCCGGGATTACAGGAGACAGTAAGTTATCACCTCCCTTGCCAATGGGGTGCATCCCCTGGACTGCTGGGAGGAGAGCCCACCAAACACCAATAGACAGCTTGATCCGGAAGGGGGATTCATTCTCCCAGTGAATTGGGGTGAGAGCCTGGAATGAAAAGGAACCCACTGAGGAGAAGGAACCAACTTAGGAGCACCGCTCTTTGTACTGGTAAGAACCCGGGTTCCAATTCAGGCCTGCCTCAGGAGGCAGAAGGGGAGTCTAATCACCTCCCAGAGACTGCTAGTAACTGCCTGTTGGGGTGAAACCATGTCTCTCTGGTTTAAGGTGTGGGGTGGAAGTATTGTGCCATGTGAGAGTGTATAAAAGTACTAGCCTGAGATGCAGCCCAGCTGCGAAGTGAGAGAGGAGTCCTGATCCTTGGTTCCATGGTGAACTCATAAGGTCAAGGGTGAGCCCCAACATGGCCTCCGGTCCTGGGTTTATACAGACTCACTGGGGACAAAGAGTCGCCTAAGTCCCCACTTAGGAGATGAACAAAGTGAGTACTTTTCCAAAACCCCTCCCCCTCTGTGTCTGTCTTGCCATCTGGTAATGGGAGGAGATGGGTGGAAATCAGAGTAAAAACCCTCCTTTCAAATGTATGATTAATAACTTTAAAAAGGATTTAATGGAGACTGGAGTTAACTTCTAACAAGCTAAACATCCTTTGTAAAGTGGATTGGCCTACTTTTGGTGTAGGATGGCCCTGGAAGGGTCACTAGATAAAATTGTGATTAATAAAGTTTATAGAGTAATTGTTAAAAACAAAACAAAATAAAACCCTAACACCCAGGAGAATGGGAAAAGCCAAGAGGCTAAGACTGGTCTTCAAAAACAAGACTCTGTTGTTTATTTAAATACAGGTACCAATTTATTGGGTGGGCTAAGGAAAAGTCAGAGTCTTTCAGTCTTAATGGATAGCTTTGGTGCCCCAGTTTGAACATCTTCACCCCAAATGGGCATCCTGAAGGAGGATTGAGGCTCAGCACTAACTGAGCTCTTACAAAAATTAACACATGAAGGATGGACATAAGATCTGGTCTGACTTAAAAAGAAAAGGAATATTGCAGAAGGGTTGTGAATGTAGAGAGGGGAAAATGGAGGAATGGAAACCAAATTGAGATAAGGTCTTCATGGATGAAGTGAGGAGAGAGAGAGAGGAGAAAAAAGGAAAAAGAGAAAAAGTGAAATGTCATAAAATGTTTGGAGACAATAAAAGGATGAAAGGTTTAATACAATCCTTCAGTTGAGTTTTTATGCTTAAAAATTAAAAGTAAATAGGAAACAATTTAGGATTATTAAAATATGCCAGAAATACTGAACTTGCTGGCACCTTTACTTCTAGGAAGCATAAACAGGGAGACCCTACCTAAAAGGGTGAGAAAAAGAGCAACTTTGACTGTGCTAATAAAAAAACAAAAAACTGTTCCAAAAGGTTGGTGCAGTAAGCTTGGTTGTTATTGAGACAGTCATGAGATGCTTATGTTTCCCTTGCTAATTATGCATCCATCCAATGGTATGCTCACAGTGTGTGTGTATATGTAAACATCTTGAGAACAGTACTTATTATAGAGTCAGTGGAAAAATTATTACTCTGTTCTATTGCTACTTTTAAGAAAACAGTTTATTAAACTTATTTCAATCAGGTCTCACTAAGATGCAGGCAGTCAGGGGTTAACACTCTAGCTCAAACCAGAGGAGAGAGGAAAAAAAAGGGGGGAGGGGCACAACCTGCAACAAAAGTCTTGGAGTTTGGGTAGTTAAAAAAATGGCCTTCCTATGTGTTTCGTTCTGTCATAAATACAATCTGGAATTAAATTCTCTCTTATAATTCATGGGTCTATTAACAAATGACCTTTCTATAAATTGCTTTTCTACAAAAATAATTTCAAGGTTGCTTTCTTTCTTGTTTTTTCATGCAATTGTAAGGCTCTAAGTTAAAAGGTTTCATGAGTTATTTTGAACAAATAACAAAAATATATAAAAGGTATTAAGGATATTATTTTTAAAAAATAAAAGGTTAAAAAAATACTTTTAGACAAAAAAAGGGACAATGACAAGCTCCCCCAGAGGGTACATATTAAATTGTTACAAAGATATAGATGCTTATGTAAGTGATTAAGTTAATTAAAATCTAAGAGTTACATGAAAGGTTTGGTAAGGTCAAAACCAATGTACTGATGTTAAACTAAAACAATTCTCTAAACTCATAACAACAAGGCTATCTTTAAAATATTATACTATTCTTAATAACATTTACAGAAAATTGTCTTAAAAATGGTTTTTGTTTTGTCAGGATAACTGTCAAGAATTTATTAGAACACAAAAAGACAAGAGGCAGCTGAGCACAGGGAGTGTTTTACATTTTCTTATGTAAAACAAAGCCAAAGTACACCCTCCAGTTAGGATAAAAAAAAAAAAAACAAAACTCAAAAAGAAGCACTACACTGGAAGTCAAGACCTCCAATTTTTATTGGACTCAACAGAGTGGAGGTGTTAGTTGTACTCCTTCCACATGTTGGACGGAGGATCTTTTGAATCGTGATCCTCCTGATCTTTGCCTCCTGACTAGTTGGATTACAGTTATGACCCACTGGCACTGGGCCTCAGATCAGTTTCAAGAGAACTATGCCTAAAGAATCTCATTACATTGTGTTTTTGTTTTTAACTAAGAATTAAATTGCGTAAGCATATCCTTATGAGTCAATTCATCAGGAATATATACTGGGACATATATGATCATGAAGTCCAATTTTCTGGAGGATTCTGCTGGGAAAAAAAGATTGACACAAATAAATATGTACTGTATAACTCTGTTTACAAAAGATGGGAGAACAGTGGAAACTGAGGAAGCAGTATGCTAGAAATCAGGATGACTTATTTAGGAGACAGGATGCCAGGAGTCAAGGAAGTTGGATCTTCTTGGGTAACTATAGGTTAAAAGGGAGGATGGGATTCTGATACTGTTTCCTAATTTAGGTTCTGGTCACAGAGATTTGTTAAAACCAACTGTACAACTATAATAAGTGCACTGTATTGTCATAGGTAAAATAAAATTTACCAAATGAGTTCACACTAACAATCCTCATATGGCCACTGATGAGGGAAATGCAACCCTTCCACTTTTCTCTATGCACAACTCCATTTTGTTTGCTGTTCTTGTGCACAGACACTATTGCTTTCAAATTACTAAGGGAATGGAATGTCTTTGGATATTAGTAAGAAATATTAAATGAATAAGCAATGTTGCTCAATGTATTAGACACTATCACTGAGTACATAGGTAAGAGATGTGTTGTGGGAAGGTGTACTCTTGACCTATATTTCAGGGCAGCCTAACCATCCCTTTTTATATTCCACATCATGGCCTTAACTAGCAGCTTTTTTGTCTTGTTCCTTCCTTACTGGACATACAGAGTTACAAAATTGCTTCTAATGCTTTTGTCTCTGTGCCTTTGAATAGCAATAGGAGAATATTTATTTATTAGGTTCAGGCCAAGAGTGTATGTATTTTGTGTCTGAATTACTCTATAGAATATGTGTACCATTTGAGAGCATCTGAAATAATGTTTTTAGCTCCTGGGAGCACTTTGAGCTTCTTGAGTCTGAAATAATATCTCCAAACACCTAAGTGATTAGTTGAACTCAATACCCAACAGAAATTGGAAACAGACTCTTTTAAGCACCTTTCCCTTGCCCTGAGGCTGAGTTCAGCACGTTACAACACGAAGGGTGTTTCCTTATATGTCTCAATTCTCAGAGGTCAAAGTCAAGGCTTTGACTTGGTTAGTGGAGCTGTGGAAACTACATTACCCGGGATGTAATGCGCCAAATGGTGGCCGAGTTGAACCAATGAAAACGAAGGACACGGGCATTTCCGGCACGCTCATCGCGTCTGGCCGGAACTTCCGGCGTCTTCCGCGTGGCGGTCATTTTGGCATTTCTCAGGTTTGTTTATCTGTATAGGCCGTCGGGTGCTGGGTACCCTGCCTCGGGTAACTGGATCGAGACTACGGAAAGCAGCCGTTGTCCCAGCCACACAGGCGGGCCTGAGGCTTGGCGACGCCGCCAGTGGTGTCCGTGTCCCCGTTCCGCCTGCAGAATACGATGGCGGCGGCCGCGCCGAGGGACCCAGCTCAGGTAGGCGCAGCGTCCCCCGGACGTCACCAGAGTCCTGGGTGAGAGAATCCTACAGTCTTGAATCCCCGGTAGTGGGGCGTCCGTGGGTGGAGCCCCCATTCTGACGTCTGTATGCTGCGGTGTGGGACAACGAAAAGTAGAGGGACGGCGGTGCAAATGTTGGAGGGGTGGCTGAGCTGGGGGGCTTCGAAGTCCCGGGGTCCGTCTCGTGTCCGCAGGGGACAGAACACAAGGCAGAGTTGCACCCGAAAATTTGACATTTTTTCTCAGGACATTGGGAGCCGTGGAGAACTGTGAACAGCCAGGAACATGGCCTCAGCTGGGGTTCCAGAAGGTTTCCAGAATTTGCTGAGAGGAAGGACAGTCAGGAAGAGAGATGATAGTTAGGCATGTGTCTGAGTCTTTGACCAAGACCGCACAGCTGGTGAGAAAGCATTGTGGAGGAGGCACAAAGGTTACTGCAACCAGCCACTCCAGGCCACCTGGCTCCCAGCGTCACTGGGTGTTATAGTAGCAGGGAGGTGGACCAGAAGAGAAACAGACAGTCTGAGTTATGATAATGAGGCAGAGGGAAGGAATGGCAAATCTGAGAGATAAAACTTAAAGAATTGAAACATGAAGAAGGTCACATAGAACTAGGGGAATGAAATAGCCTATGAAGTTATGTACAGCCACATGTCATAACTTTGCTAAAACTTCAGTAACCTGCTTGCATAAGTACATAAGGTGAGACCCCTTTGTTCTAGGGGCTCAGCCTTTGGACAGGAGTCAGCTGTGTCTGTGCTGGCACAATAAAACGTTGCTTCCTGCTAAACTGCCTCAGTGTCCTGTATCTCAGCTTGAAATTTCCCGCAACAGCATGAGCCTGTGGAATCTGCTTGTGGTTGCCTGACTTGTACTGCCTTCTTTCTACAGATTCATATGACTTCAGAACCATTTATGGAGCCTAACCTGATAAGTGGAGATTGTTGCTATCCTCCATAGGGAGTCTAGGCTACTGGCGTCCTTGGAATGTTTTCTTACTATTCTACTAGCCTTGGATCTGGGGATCCTGAACTGATACAAAGCCTAGCGTCCTGTGTGCACGTTGAGAGTTATATGAAATTGTAGGCAACCATAAAGTGTGGTGTAGAAGGTTGTTTCAGTTGTAGTTATCAATGTGTGCATATGCCTGGAGGGGAGCCTGGGGTACTTCTTTCTCATTGGAGTAGGTAGCAGTACAGCAGGAGTCAGGCCTGGAATGTCTCCTTAAGAACTTCTCACAGTCTTTTTTTTTTTTTTTTTTTTTAAATGATACTGGAGATTGAACTCAGGGCCTACACCTTGAGCCACTCCACCAGCCCTTTTGTGATGGGTTTTGTCGAGATGGGGTCTTGAGAACTATTTGCCCAGACGGCTTTGAACCGTGATCCTCCTGATCTCTGCCTCCTGATTAGCTAGGGTTACAGGCATAAGCCACCAGTGTCTGGCACTTTGACATTCTATTTGTGAAAGTAACAAATGAGTAGGTTTCATGTGGAGGGTGGAGGTGATCTGACCACTCTCATCAGGCTCCCTTTGGTTGGAGCATGGGAAACAGACTGGATGGAAGATGATAGGAAGTACAGGGAGAAGTTTCGTGAACAGTCAGTATGTGTATGAGAGTAATTGGGCCAGTGTGGTTGCTGTGTATGTGGGAGAAAATGTTGGATTCTGAATCAGATTTTAGATAAGGCTGCCTAAATTTTCTGATTTTAGGGTGAGAGAGAAGATGATATAGAATGAGTCACAGATGACTAGTCAAAAGTTTGATTTTGGGTACTCCATTAACTTAGGTGGCAAGGTCAGGATAGGAGGAATTTCCATGACAGTGTCATGAGTTTTATTTTTGGTTCAGGACTATGAGAATTTTCAGAAAACAGTTCATGAGCAGGTGGAACCATCTGGAGAATTGAGGAGTTTAAGTTGGAGACTTCTCTCAAAGGTAGTGAGCAGTGTGTGGACCAGGATGGAGCTGTGGGACACATTTAGTAGAAGAGAGGTATGGTGGGGTTTTTTTGGCAGTACTGGGGCTTGAACTTAGGGCTTTCATCTTGAGCCACTCCATCAACCCTGTTTTTGTGAAGGGGTTTTTGAGATAGGGTCTCACAAACTATTTGCCTGGGCTAGCTTTGAACCGTGATCCTCTCTGCCTCCTGAGTAGCTAGGATTACAGGTGTGAGCCACTGGCGCCTGGCTGAGAAGTGTGGTTTTGCTTGTAATAATGGCAGTTTGCCCAGGAAGAGGAAGGGATGGTTGAGTTGAGGGCTGGATTTCCTATTTGGGTGCCTGGTTGTGGGAGAAGTATCCATGGAATAGGTGAGGGAATGGTCTGGCATATGACTGAGGCTTCTCAGGGATGGGATGAGAGGACGTGTGATAGATATAGAGATGTAAGAGAAATTCAGACAAAGTCACAGTAGGGTTGGTGCTTATTCATTGCTTTATAGATTCACCATGATTTTATTGTAACCCTTAGTGGGACTTGGGTGTTTTAGTCATGGTGACAGGTTAGCTTAGGCAGTTAATTGGCTGTCTGGGAGACTCACTGGACCTGGGTTAGAGAGCCACTGTGTTGAACCTTGAGTGAGAGGAAGTCTCTGATTGGTTTGTGTGATGCAAGTGCACAGGAGTGGAGGAGAGACATGGGTATCTGAGATCCACAAGTGGTTCTTGGTAGATGATGTTGAAGAAAAGAGCAGGGTCAGGTAGGAGACTTTCATAGCAGAATTGGAGGCTGCCTTGCAGTGGGATCTGCAGGAAGTCTCTAGAATACTGGATCCTATTTGCATTTTCCAAGCACTCTTTGGACCCTATGATCTGAGTAATAAGTAGGCCAAGGAGCTGCTCATAGTGTGGGGCTGTGGCTATAGGAGAGAGGCTGTAAGAGATGTGTGAAAGAAAGTGATATGTACATGAAGAATGTTAATTGATGGCCCTGGGGCCTTTAGGCCATCAGGGTGAAGAGTGAATCCATATTTGGTTATATGTAGGAAGAAGGATCTGGAGAACTGAAGGCCAATTTTCTGAAAATAAGGGAGTGTGACCCAGGTCCAGAGCTTAGATGGTACTTATCTGCCAGCCTACTTGTTGGCAGTATGCATGGCCACAGTCAATAATCAATGATACCATGAAGCTGGGCATAAGTGGCACCCCTGTTTCCCGAGGTGGGGAGTTAGGGAATGATCTGAGCAGAGTTGGGTGGGTATGTGAACTTAGAGTCCTCAGGAGGAGGATGTACACAAAATGAACTTTCCTCATCATGCAGGGTTGTGTGACCTTTAGCAATAACCTTATTTTTTGGCATTACTGGGGTTCAAACTCGGGCAAGCACTCTATCACTTGAGGCATACTCCCAGCCTGATCTTGTGGGAATACAGCCATATGAGAAAGGTGTGATTCAGAGTGCTGTGTGCAGAGTGAGTATGAACTGATAACACTGGGGAGATTTGGAGTCATAAGGATAAGGGTAAGCCCATGTTGCTTGGGTCCTGGAAGTAGGATTGGGGAGACCTCCAGGGTGGAACAGGTTGCCATCCTTTCCCCTCTCTGTGGCCACTTCTCTCCTTAACCAGTGCTTGTGACAGCCACCACATTGACAAATGTGTCTATATATTCATCTGCCTTTGTTGTCATGGAACTTCACAGTTTCCGTGGTACCAGGCTGGGTATGGCCTCTGAGATGAGGAGTTGGGGAAGGGTGGTGAGCAGAGGGTGAATGTTGAAGCAAGAGGAAAACTTGGGTTCTCCTTAGAAGAGAAACTGATAATGGAATGAACTATTCCCATTATGGCAGGGTGTAACCTTTGAGGATGTGGCCGTTTACTTCTCCCAGGAAGAGTGGGGGCTCCTTGATGAGGCACAGAGAATCCTGTACTGCAACGTGATGCTGGAGAACTCTGAACTTGTGGCATCCCTGGGTAAGGTCATTGCATCCCTCCGTGTCCTGAGTTTTCTCTGTCTGTCCAGTCATGTCCCCACTTCCCCCACAGAGGCGGTTGCCTCTGTCTAGATAGTCTTACTGTTAGCCTCATGGATCTCATCTTGAATGCTTTTTTCCCTATAGGGGAGACTGCCCAGATCCACAATAGCCTGTGCCCCAGTTCCTGCCTCCTTCTTTAGTTGCCATTTCCTTATGGATATCTGTGTGAAGAACTGCAGGCATTGTCATGATCACTTTTATGTGAAGAGCCTCCTTTTTGAGTGTTCTTTGTAATGTTTTGTTTTCTATATACTGTCGTGTGCTAAGTTGGTGAGCCAGTGCTGGTCACTTATCTGTCCTTGCTTTCTTTATGACTTGCATCATTCATGTCCCATGTGATTGCATAATGAGGGCTGCAGTGAGAGTCCTGGTTGCTTTACAAAGTGGACATGGCAAGATGGTCTCAGAGGAGACCTGCCCTGGTAAGAGACTGCTGGGGAAGGATGTGACATCAGAACTGCGTTCATGTTGTACAAGGAACCTGCAGTGTTTCCAACAGTGTTTTAGTGAAAGGTCGCCCTGCTTTCCCATCCTTGTTACTTTGCCAACTGTGATTTCATCTGTGCCTTCTCTTGTTTGGCTCCTTTTACCTTTATGACCTTTGTACATCACTTGTTCTTCTTCACTGCTTGCTCTGCTTTGTTCTCCAGTTTTGACTCACTTTACAAAGCATGCACACATCCTTTAAAAATTGCCCTTATCACCAGTTACTTAGTGTAATTTGGACTTTTTTGGGATTGGGCACAGTGACCTTCTATACTGCATAGACATTTCCTTAGTAGACAAGATGCTGCTGAAAGCTGTTGGCAGAGAAACAAGTTGGAAGCCCTCCTTTTTCCTTTGCTGCAGCTTTCCTTGTGTTCTTTGTCTGGTGTGGTCTCTCCAGTAATTTTTACTTTTTTTTTTTTTTGGTGGTATTGAAGTTTGAACTCTAGGCTTCTTACTTGCTAGGCAGGCATTCTCCTGCTTGAGCCGTACTTCCAACTGTTTTTGCTCTGGTTATTTTGGAGATAGGGTTTTGTTTTTTGCACAGGCTGAGCTGGAATATGATCATCCTTTTTAAGCATCCCACTGTTGCTGGGGTGACAGGTATGTGCCACCATACCCAGCTTTTTTCTTTTGAGATGGGTCTCACAAACATTTTTGCCCAGACTGGCCTGGAACCTCAATCCTTCTGCTCTTAGCCTCCTGTGTGGCTTGGGATGACAGGCACTGCCACTGCACCCAGCTATTGGTTGAGATTTGGGTCTTGTGAACTTTTTGCCTAAACTGGCCTTGAACTGTGATCCTCCTGGTCTCAGGTTCCCAACTAGCTAGGAGTACAAGCATGAGCCACCAGCACCCAGCTCCATGTTGTAATTTTAAAACACCCAGCATTTCAAAGCGGCTCCTTCAACTTTTCCCCAGCTCCCTGTTCTCAGAACTGTCCTATGGTCTCTCATTTTTTAAAAATATTTTGCAGCAAGGTTTTGATATGTAGCCCAGGCTGGCTGGCCTTGAACTTTCCTCCTGCCTCAGCCTCCTGAGTGCTGGAATTACAGGCATGTGCCATTGTGCCCTCTTGGATTGCTTCTTGTATCTCTCACACCTTTGTAGGCTTTTCCTTCTGTGGGATATCAACATTCAGTTCATCAGCATTTCCCTGATTTCAGGTTACTGTCCTGGGACTGAGGATGATGTGATTACTTCCGAACACAGTGTACCTATAGAAGGAGTGCCATGGCTCAGGATTTCTAAGGCAAGTCTCTCTATCCAAGAGCCTCAACTCTGTGAGATGCATGTCCCAGCCTGGGGAGATGTTTTGCATCAGGGTAAAGTCCAGTCCACATCCTCTGTGCAGAAATTGGGCAGCACAAGCACGAGAGGCTTCTATTTCAGTGCAAACCTTCATCAGCTCCAGAAGCATTACAGTGGAGAAAAGCCCTGGGAAAACTCACTTGTGACAAGCTTCAGATTCCTTGTGTTGGCAAAGCCTTTCACTTGTGGGGAGGATGGGGAGGACTTCTTAGCCACTGTGGGCTTCCTTCAGCAGCATGCCACTTGCAATGGTGAACATCCAGTAAGTAGCAGTAGCAAATGTGGAGAAGTGTTTTGGAGTAGACAGAGACATAACAAGGTGGGTGAATGTAGAAAAGCTTCCAGTTACCAGCACACACTTGTTCAACATCCGAGTATCTGCCCTGAAGGGCTTTATGAGCAGAGCAAATGTGACAAAACCATCACCTGCAAGTGCACACTTGTTCAGCATCAGGGCATTCAAATGACACATGAGTGTAGTGAACATTGGAAATCCTTTAGCAAAAATTGTCACCTTGCACACAAGAGAATTTGCACTGGAGAACGGCATTGTGAATGTAGTGAACATGAGAAAGCCGTTACCCACAAATCTGAACTCTTTCACTATCGTAGACATCACAGTGAAGCGGTGCATTACGAGTGTGGGGAATGTAGTAAATCCTTTACCTGTAAGTCCAACCTCATTGGACACCAGAGAGTTCACACTGGAGAAAGGCCTTATGAGTGTAGTGAGTGTGGGAAATCCTTTAGACAAAGCTCTGTCCTCTTTCAACACCAGAGAGTTCACACTGGAGAAAAGCCTTATGAGTGTGGTGAATGTGGGAAATCCTTTAGACAAAGCTCTATCCTCTTCCGACACCAGAGAGTTCACACTGGAGAAAGACCTTATGAGTGCTGCGAATGTGGGAAATCCTTTATACAAATCTTCAATCTCACTCGACACAGAAGAGTTCACACTGGAGAGATGCCTTATCCGTGCACTGATTGTGGGAAAGCCTTTAGCTGCAAATCTGAACTCGTTCAACACAAGAGAATTCACACTGGAGAAAGGCCTTATGAGTGCAGTGAATGTGGGAAATTCTTTAGACAGTTTTCTAACCTCATTCGACATCGGAGAGTTCACACTGGAGCAAAGCCTTATAAATGCAGTGAATGTGAGAAATCATTTAGCCGCAAATTTGTCCTCATTCAACACCAGAGAATTCACACTGGAGAAAGGCCTTATAAGTGTGGGGAATGTGGCAAGTCCTTTATTCGAAATTCTGACCTCATTCAACACCAGAGAGTTCATACTGGCGCAAGACCTTATGAGTGTGGTGAGTGTGGGAAGTCCTTTAGACGACACTCTAGCCTCATTCAACACCGGAGAGCTCACACTGGACAGAGGCCTTATGAGTGTGGTGAATGCGGGAAATCCTTTAGCCAAAATGCTAGCCTTATTGAACACCAGCGAGTCCACACTGGAGAAAGACCTTATGAGTGCAATGACTGTGGGAAATCGTTTAGCAAAAGGTCTAATTTACTTCAACACCAGAGAGGTCACACTGGAGACAGGCCTTTTGAATGCAGTGAATGTGGGAAATCTTTCACCCACAAATCTGACCTCATTCAGCACCAAAGAGTCCACACTGGAGAAAGGCCTTATGAATGCAGAGAGTGTGAGAAGTCCTTTACCTGCAAATCTAGCCTCATTCGACATGAGAGAGTTCACAATTAAAGGCCTTCTGTGTGGCGATGTGCTATTCCATTATTCAGCATAACAGCACTGAAGGAGACTGGGAGCCTCTAAATTTAAACATTTGAACTTCCACAGAGGGGGGTTCTTCATAAATTTCAGGTATGTGGGGAGCATTGAGGGAGACTGAAGTTTCTGACTTGCCCAAGGCCATAGCCTGATTTATGCCACTGCCAGTTTCTGTGGCAGAAGCCATTCCTCCTTTACCACCTGATAGGTTCACCTTATGTATGTGACTTACTGCCCCCACCATGGTCAGAGAAGCAAATTTCCTTTCTCTCCTCTATTTTCTTGGGGAAAAATTTCAATAGCCTCAACTTATGGGGGCTCCTCATTTTCTTGTATTTGTATATAGGGCATGGGCCTTACTCATTGGTCCGGAGGACTTGATCCGAGTTTGCTGTCAACCTGGTAAGATGGTCTTGTTCAGTGGCATTTTTGTAGCATCATGCTTGTAATGAATTTTTCCAGGTTTAAATTCACCAACCCAGAAATTACTTGTTGCACATTGCTTTGATTCATCTTTCTGTAAAGGTCATTTTATTCATGTGCTTTTAATCTTGATGGGTCTGATCATCATATAGAGTGACTTGTAATCAGACTAGTGATGTTGCTGTGAAGAGTGAACTGATTTTGTGGAGATCCCCAACTTGTGTGTTTCAGATGGCTGAAAATATTTCTCTGCAGAATATTTTAAATTTCCATTGCTGTCAGAAGCTTCAAGGGTAAGCCTGCAGGGATTTGTGTTTTTAACTTGTGCTGGGTGCTAGGATTTTTGTGAGGTCAGAGGTTGTTGTGAAGAGGAGAGTTGTGATAATACCAGGTGCTCTGTAAACCGCATATATTTATTCACTTCCACAAGGGATGTCAAAGAATTCCTAGCACTCTGGACAGTAGTCTCTTCTGCAGGTCTTGCAGTGGAGACATTTCCCATGATATACAGAGCCATGTAGTATAGTGTCATTTGTAACTGGGACAGAAACTGTTAATAGAGAGGCAAGGAGATTAGTAAATTAGATAGAATGTGTCTCTTTGTGTGTGTGTGTGTGTGTGTGTGTGTGTGTGTGTGTGTGTGTGTGTGTATGTGTGACTGAGGTTTGAACTCAGGGCCTCACGCTTGTTCTCCCCCTCCCCCCCAGCCTTTTTTATGTTGGGTTTATGAGATAGGGTCTTGCTTTTGTTGTCCATACTGGCCTTGAACCACAGTCCTAATCTCTGCTTTGCCCAGCCTGGAACGTGCCTCTTCTAAAAGTTCATTCACAAATGTTCCAGTGATGATGGCTGTGTAAAGAAATTCTGAGGATCTCCGTAGCTATTTCCTTTGCCTGTAGTTTTATTAAATGCCAGAAAGGTTTTATGTGTTCCTGTATCCTTTCTGGTCTGTTCACCCATTGGCCAATGCTGTGTTGGTAGGGAAACAAGAATAGAAAGGGGATTCTGTAGTCTAGGGACATAGCTTTTGTGACCCAGCCAGCATTCCGTTTGACTCAGATGGCAGCAGCTCTTATTGCTTGTCAGTATTTATCATAACTGAAGCAAAGTTGCCCCTCTCAGGGTCTGAGGAAAGAGATGGTGATTCCATATCTGGTTGATAACCTGGTTTCCAAGAAAAGCAGGACATCTAGACTTATTATTTTGAGCCACTTTTTAAAGCTTCATTAAGTATTGTTTGTATAATTAACATTCCAGTTGGAACATGGCATGGTAGCACAAGCCTGTATTCCTAGCTGTTAAGGAGGCTGAAGCAGAAGGATTACTTAAGCCCAGGAGTTTGAGGCTAGCCTGGGCAACATGGCAAGACCTCAGCTCAAAAAAATTATATAATTCAGTAAAGCTTTACAATCATGAAATGTATGTTTATCTCTTACCCTTTAATAATCTCTCTCTACATTTGCCAGCTCTCTCATTGATATCTTTTGTAATAAATTGGTTTGCATTTTCTAGAATCTTAAATGATTGTTGTCACAATGTGAATGTGTGCATGAATATGTTGTATAATTATTTTGAGATAACAGTGATGCTTATGTGAAAGTTCTTACTGTTACTGAATAGCATTCTGTTCTGTGAGTAAACCACTATTTGTTTATCCATTCATTTATTTAGGGATATTTTTGTTATTTATAGATTTTGTATAGTACAAATAAAGCTTTGAATATTTCAACTTTATATTGGTATGCATTTATTTGCCTTGTATTAATAACTCAAGTCGTAAAACTAAACTTGTAACATAGGTGAATGTTTTAAGAACATTTAGAAAATACTAAACTGATTTAAGTGGTTGTTCCCTGTTGCATTTCCACCAACAGTGTGAAAGTTCCAGTTCCTCTACTTTGACCAATCTTTTTAATTTAAGCTCATTTAATAAGTGTGTAGTGGGTCTCACTGTAGTCCTTGGATTTCCCTAAGAATTTGTGATACTGAGTGTTTTTCATGCATTTCTTTGCCATCTGCACATCTCTGATAAAATGTCTTTTTCTGTGTTCATGTTTTTTTTCCTGTTTTGATGAATCCATTGTTTTAACAAATAAAGAGAGCAACAACAAAGATACATATACTAGAATCTCACTCATTCTTCAGTGAAAATGATTAACTTCTTTTGCCAATACAGAACAACTGTTTTTGAATACCAGAGTTCTTTTGAATTCCTCATTTTTTTTTTGCTTTGTGCATAATGGAATGCCCACATAGACCATGCACTTGCAGGTTTAATCTGCATTTTTAGCATATCCTCTATCATCATAAGTTTAAACATTCAGTAATACATTAAATCAAGCTTAGGTTTGTAGTCTTTGCAAATTTTCTTGAGTAAATTCTCTATTGGGGTCAATTTTCAGTTGCTAAGATGTCACTGAACATGGAAGTTGAAAGAGTTTGTAGTAACAAACCATTATATTCTATTTCCAATACTGCCAGAGCACTTGAAAAATAATCTCAATATAGATAATCAAACAGTGATTAGAAATGATTAGATTTTATATATTTGTCTTTAAAACAGCTTGCAATATGAGTCACTTAGAGTATATGTATTTAAAGCAATGTTTGATGTCTTCATACATGCTTACATTCCTTATACCAAATATTTTCCCCACTCTTTCAGTTAATCCTTTTCAACATACAAATTTACCAATAAAAGAACCAACTATTGTGACATTTATAGTGGCTAGTTCCAACATACTCATACTTGGGAAAGATTGTTATTAACCTGTATTTTGTCATTTATCATTTCACGGTCATTCTTGTTTATTCTGTCCTCATGAACATTAGAATTTTTTGTTATAATCCTAGATTCTTCATTTCATCCATAATCCCTTTCAGAGTGCATTTTAAAATTTCTGGGATCTTTGCTAACCCTGATCACTCAAATACACAGAGCAGACATATGTCTATAAAAGTAAAGGCTAAATGCTTTATGTATAGTGCTGAGTTTTTTTTTTATCAGCTGCTACTATTTAAGGCTGACTTTTGATTGTAAGCAGAGTACAAAATAAATTTGTATTACTTGTATTAGGTATGCCTTTGGATCTGTTAACCTATACATGTTGCTTACTTAAAAAATGTTTCTCTGTGGTAAAGGTGTTAAGCCACTTGCCCATTAGAACTGCCGTCATTCTTTTTTTGTGTATGTGGTAGTTCTGGGGTTTGAGCTCAGAGCTTTGTGCTCATAAGTTAGGAGTTCTGCCATTTGAGCCATTACCACCCCCACTGCTCCCAGCCTTTTTTGCTCTGGTTGTTTTGTACATAAGGTCTTGCCTTTTGCCTAGGTTGGCCTGGAGCCCTGATCTTCCTATTTCAACTTGTGTATTTTTGATTGTTCAGGAGAATGACCATTTTTCCTTATATTCGTTGATTTTAATACTGGTTTTTGGAAAAGTAACCTCATACTTTCCCTCACTTTTATATTGATGCCTGTATAATGGCATTAAATTATGAAAAGATAAATGTAAATATGCAAGATTGTTAGGGATGCTCAACTTTAGTAGTTTTCCTAAGGATTGTGTACTTTGGATTTGAGAGCTGGTTCTTGCAGTTGTTTTGTAATGTTTTTGTGTATAAAATTATTGATCCTGCTTGAGATACATTGGGAATTTTGAAGTTGTGAACTAATGTGTTTTTTTGCTTGGTCTCAGCAAATGTGTTATTTCTTGTGTATTACTTCTGCCACATTCTGTCTGTGACTTGTGAACTCCAGTTCATTTTATAGTATGCTTTGCTCTTCTATATTCTGTATGCATTCACACTCATTCTCTGAAATTTTTACCTCTAAATTTCTATATTCTGGATATCTTCTGATTTACATTTCATTTATGATTTCTTCAGGCCATTTCAACTTATATTTTAAATCTTGGCCCATATAGGGATGAAGGTTAGTTTCCATTTTGGAGATTATAATTCATATAGTTTTGAAGAGCTAGGATTTCTACCATACTGGAACCAGTTTAAATTTAAGAGCTAAAGTTTGTATTCAGTCCGTATCACAGTTCTGAAAATGGTTTCTTATTAATGATGTTGTATCTCCTCATGAGCTTCCTAAAAGATCCTCAGATGTCTTGTTATCTTCATATGAAGTACAGTAATATGAAATTTGCTAAGTTCTCAGATCATAGGCAGATGTTTTCTATCTGAATGAAAGGTATTGGAATGTGAACATTTATTACTTTGCCTATAAGACTTGAGATTATTAAAACAGATGGTAGATTTTCTCTATAGAAAATACGTATGGTTCTTAAAAATATTTCTCTCAGAAAAAGAAGCAGAGGTTATTAAAAGGAAAGGCAATTCATTTGTTGCTTAGAGGACAATATATCTACGGTTTTCAGGTACAAAGTTTTGACATTTCACATGAGAGGTTTATCTGATTTTTTGGATGTTTATCTAATTCTTGACTCTCATCATTCAGCTTCTGCTCTTTCAGTTTTCCCACCCATAGGTTTTTACATCTTTCAGTGGTGTTCCTTTATTGAAACACTGGTGGGTGGTGTGTT